GTCGGTAGGTAGGTAGGTCGGTAGGTGGTCGGTGGGTGGTCGGTCGGTCGGTCGGTCAGTCGGTCGGTCGGTCGGTCGGTCGGTCGGTCGGTCGGTCGGTAGGTAGGTAGGTAGGTAGGTAGGTAGGTAGCCAGGTAGCCAGGTAGGTAGGTACTCGGGCCTTCATACAGAAACTCCAAAGCAGTCTAAATTCCAAACACAGCACTGTTACAACATCCAAAGCGCAAGCCCAAGCCCTCAAAGGCCTGCTTCAAGGCGTAAACAATCACAACACCCTAGACCCCTAAGACTCAAAAGGCGATAGAATCCGAGAACCCTCAAGAGCCTATATACCACTTTGCCCTAAAGCCTCTTTCCGTACTGCACCAGGCCCAAATCCTTGAAACCCAGAAACCGTCCTTTGCCGACAGGCCTCTTCTACCGTCCTCCAGGGAAGGGCCGACCGACCCGGTCCGCAGGGCGCGGCCAACGCGCTTCGGGCGGCCGGGAAGGTGACAGAGGCCAGCGGGAACGCGACTTTTGTGCAGTTTAGGGGTTTTAAGACTTGTAGGAAGGAGCCCGATAACTATTCAGACGTCTACATTTTTAGTATGGAACATATGTGGACTGACTGAATAGCTGGAGTTGTGTTTAAGCCCTATATATTACCCTTTGATAACAGAAAGCCCATTAAGGCATCAACGTCTAAAGCCCCATCAAAAGCAAAATCTATTCAAAGCAATCCTACATCAACCCATTAAAAAACAAAACGTCCACAACACACCATAACAAGAAGCCCCTACCGAACCCTTTAGAAAGCTACAACGAGCCCCAAAAAGGCCCCTAAACCCTAGACCCTAAACCCCAAACCCCAAACCCTAAACCCTAAACCCCAAACCCCAAACCCCAAACCCCAAACCCTAAACCCTAGACCCTAAACCCTAAACCACCGAAAGCCCCGTGAACACAAACGCACCAACAACTTCGGCTCCCGAGTCTGGCTTGCCGTCAGCCGTGGAGCTCGCGTCTGCAGCCACCAGGAGTGTGGTTTAGGGTTTAGGGGGTTTGGGGTTTAGGGTTTAGGGTTCAGGGGATTTGGGTTTCGGGTTTTGGGGTTTAGGGTTTAGGGGGTTAGGGTTTTTTGGGTTTGGGTTTAGGGTTTTAGGGTTTAGGGTTTTAGGGTTTTTTTGGGTTAGGGTTTAGGGTTCCGGGTTTAGGGGGTTGGGGTTTAGGGTTTGGGGTTTAGGGTTTTAGGGTTTTTTGGGTTTAGGGGATTTGGGTTTAGGGTTTTAGGGTTTTGGGTTTTGGGTTTTAGGGTTTGGGTGTTTACGCGTGTCGAATTGAACAGAGACCCAGCGGAACCTGAAAGGGGTTCCTTATGCTTTCCTTTTTTAATGGTTCTGAGATATGTTTGTATATATATATATATATGTATATATATATATATATGTATATATATATACACACGCATAGACACACAGAGTATAATAGCTATATTTCATATATATATATATGTACACAAATATATGTATAGACAAAGAGAATGATAATAATAGAACATACAATAGTAATAACACTTATACTGCATCATGTGCATAGATAAAGAGATAGCCACGATGTATGTTTTCGGGGTTGATATGGGGATTCTTTTGCTGGGAGAGGGGTGTCCTGTTTTTCAATGAATAAGGGTTCTGAGTACAGGGTTATCCCTACCCCCTAAACCTTACCCTAAACCCGAACTCCTAAGCTCTAAATCCTATTTGTCTGTAGGGTCAGGAGCAAGGGGCTTTACATGCAGCGCTTAAGGGTTTGTGGCCACGGGAGTTTCGGGTTGTTACTAGAGGGGCCTAAATAATTACCTATGGTTTAGGGTTTAGGGTTTAGGGTTCCTGCTTGTCAATATAGTATAATGGGCCCCAAAACCCTGTTCTGATTATTAAGGCCTCTAGATTTTACGATCAGGCCAGTACTTGGGGGAGCAGGGGACTTAGTAAGTGGGCCAGGTTGTACAGAAATGGTCATATGCCTACAGTACCTATTGCTGCCATACTTGTAACCCCACTTACACGGTCACCTGAAAATAGAGATGATAAGCCCTCAGTGCAGCACCTTCTAGTTGCAAGATCAATGCTGTTGCTGTTGTAAGTATGACTCTTAGCAGCACGATTAGCATAGGTACCCGATAATTGGAACAGGGTTTCGGGTTAATATTATCCGATTTCCTAAGGCCTCACTGATTTGTGAATAAGGGTTGGGGGTTGGGGGTATACGATACTACGACTAGTCTAGGTTTTGGGGCATACTAAAGTTACTATCCTACAATCAAGCAGACCCTCAGACCGAACCCGGCTGCAAACCCGATAGCCTTATTCCAAACCCGAATCCCCATGCCGCCTCAACCACTGCACCCTTTCAGTTTCTGGGAGGATCTGTGGGGAGCTTTCGCAGCAAAACTTGTCCAACAGCTTGCGGCTTTCCTGCACCCTAAGCTCACCAATTTTCGATTCCCGTGCGCTACAACCTCAAGAAGAGAAATTCCCTGTGCCTAAATGCCTGAAATCCTCCGTTCTTGATATTGCTAGTCGAACACTTTCGAGCAGATGCAGTCCTTACGATTTCGGCCGACTTATACAGTAGTTTTGGCCCTGATTAGGGTCTTCGTGTTTTGAGTCTAGGTCCTCAAAATTTGAGTTTCAGAGTTCACACAGCACCTGGGTTTCGGAGCCGCTTCGTGTTCAGGGCTTAGGGTTTAGGGTTTTTGTTTAGGGTTTAGCTTGCGGTCGATAGGTTCCACAGGTCATCACTACGCTTGGATAAGTTTACAACATGCGGACATACTGGCCAGGTAAAACTAGCATTTCTCATTGCACACGCATAAATTTCGGCGTGTTTGTTTGTGCGCGTACTGCCTGTTATCCATACCGAAGTTGAACACAACTGTAACCTTACAATCATGCTCTCTTTCTCTCTCGCGCTCTCTCTCTGGCTCTCTCTCTCTCTCTCCCTATCTCCGTCTCTCCTCTAGCTCTCTCTCTCTCTCTCTCTCTCTCTGTCTGTGTCTCAGACTGCTACCATGCCCGGCCATAGTACAATCTAGAGGTCGGAATAAGGCTGTAACAATGTCTCCCTGGCATTGTCATGAGAGTAGTGCACCCCAAAACCGTATTCTAACTTAGTAAGGCCCCGATATTCTTCTGACATCAGCTCTTCGATCCCTCTCGCGAATAGCAAATTCTGGCAAGTGTGACACCTGACCTTAGGTGGACGCCGGCCATCATGATCTTCTACGGCCGCATGCTGCCAGACTCGCCCACACAGCGTCCCGGAAGAAGTGCAGGGGTGTGAAAACCCTAAATTGCAGAACACGGGTTAAATGTCAAAGCCGGCAATGTACAGTCTTTTCTTCGTCCTGCGTTGTTGCTAGCTACGACGGTGTGTACTGCCGAGACTGCCAGGACGATGGGCAGAGTTAGGGCATCGGCAATGAGTGATCGCGAATCTTCCAAGTTGCTCCTGCTTCTGCCGTCCTTGTCATTGTCATGGTCGTGACTTGGTCATGGTCGTTACTATCATGGTCATGGTGGCAGCTGCTGTGGTCTTTCTCGCGCTCGCTGCCAGATCATGAATGCGGAGGAACGGACATCAGAATTCGAGCAAGCGATGTCAGCATTCTTGTACCAGAGGGCCACCATTCAAGATAAGACAGTTGGAGGCTGCGGCTGTCGATCTCATGTTTATGACAGTCGCCGTCATCCTCGTCGTCGACCGATTCTCGTCGTCCTCCGTCACCCGCTCAACGACAGCCAGCGAGCCAGCCAACCCACCGGCCGACCGGAGCAAAGACAGCAGCAGCACCACACCACCGACCACAACAGCGACATAGATTTGTGTAGCTTGCATAGTACAAACGGTATGTCGTACCAACCAAGGGGTCAAGGACTACGAGGACAAAGCTGATAGTTGCTGCAAGAGTACGGTGATGCTAAAACTTGTCGCTGACATGAATACGGTGATGATGGTGAAAAGGCGGTATAGATGAATAATGAGATGAATATGACTATTTTGTTGTTGTCGATGATGGTCACGGTCATGACGGGGATGATGGTTTCCGAGGCAGTCGTGGTGTCACTGCCGGTGCTCTTGACGTTGCTGCTGCTGCTGCTGCCAGCCCTGAACCCTGAGCCTCAGCGCATCTAGCGGAGGCTGGTCGTCCTCAAATCACCAGAGTTCCAAGCGCAGGGCACCGCCAATACGATGCAGGTCTGCAGGGGCTCGGGATAGCAGGTGAGCTTCCCACGTCAACCATTTTTGCATGCTGAGAATGTGGTTTCTTACACAGTTCCTGTCTTTGACATCCAGTAACTTCCTTCGCCGAAATACGGCTGGATAGCACGCACTGAAGGTCTGCGAGTCTCAGCCTCTGTCTATTTGAGGGGAGTCATCCTCTGCCATCAGAACTTTCGTTATAACGGAGTAATAGCCCTAAACCCTAAACCCTAAACCCTAAACGGCTCTAAGCCCTAATTGCACCCTAAAGCCAGACTAGTACTGGTACAGCTCTTTTGAGAGTTCATGTCAGAGTCGGCATCCATGTCGTTTTCGCTTCGACCTCGTGGATTCCACAACTATGGGTTTAGGGTTTAGGGTTTGTCTGGGTTTGTCTGGGTTTGTCTGGGTTGCGTTCTGGGAATTGGAATTTGCAAAGCCGGGGAGGTTTCGTTGAATGAGGTCAGCATTAGGCAAGACTTCCTGGCACAAAGCTTTGAGTCGTCATCACTCGGGCCTTATAAGGGCAGTAAGGGTTCAGGGTTCTTGGCCTTGGGCCAAAGAACATTGGAACCCGACCCTGCATCGTAATTTTATATCTATCCCCTAAACCCTTTAACGTTAAAATCAAACCAAGGCGTACAAAGCCTTGTGAAGATTTATACAACTAGTACGCAGATAGCAGGAAATCTGCATGCATAGGGCTCCGTACCGTGATTTCATTGTGTATGTCCCTACGAAGGTAGGTTTTGGGGGTATAATGTAAGCCCTAAACCCCGAACTTCCCTAAACTCTAAGGAACTGCTGTAGAACCCTCACAGACCCCTTACAGAGTCCTCTTCAGAACCCAACGAAGCCTTGAAGCCCTAAACACTAAACCCTGAACCCTAAACCCTAAACCCTGAACCCTAAACCCTGAACCCTAAACCCTAAACACTGAACCCTAAACCCTGAACCCTAAGCCCTGAACCCTGAAACATAAATCCTGAACCCTAAACCCTGAACCCTGAACCGACACCGAAGTGACTGCAGGCTCTCGGTTGCCTTCGTGTCGATGGCGGGCTGGTGTTCGCTGCTCCGGGATCCGCGGCAAAGGTGGAGGACGGCAGCACTAAAGCAACAATAATGATTCTCATCCTTGAACAATTCCTAATTCCGTCGGGTTCTGTAATTGTGGTATGGTGCACCGCAAAATCCGCACGGTTCTTGCGGTGGGATGTTTGCGCTGGGCCAAGTCTCTCAGGCAAAGTCCAAGCCAAACCTTCCGACGGGGCTCAGTGTTTCTGGAGTTCCAGGGTTCGGGTACTCGGGGCTTATACGGTTTTGAGGGTCATGTCATAAAGCTTGTAGGGCTTTGGGCTGAGGGGTTGGGCTTTAGGGGTCAGGGATTTAGGGGTTTTGGCTGCCGGTTCTCTTTCGGGATTTACGGCTTCGGAGCCATCGAGCGCACTCCCTTCTTCGCAGGTATCCAGAAGCGCGTGGTTCCTGAAACCCCGAGTCTTGAACGTCGTGGAAGACCCCAAACCCTAAACCACAAGCCTTGCAAACAAGAGCTCACAAAAAGAACCTAAGCCTTAAACCCCCTAAACCCCCCTAAACCCCCCAAAACCCCCGAAACTCCCGAAACCCCCCAAAACCCACCCCCAAAACCCTAAACCCTGAACCTCCGACTCAAAGCCTCTACCCCATAGGCCCTAAAGTATTTCCTTTGGGATTCCCTAATAGGATTCTAAATATGAACCCCAAAAAGGAACTACTTTAGGGCCTATGGGTATATATGTGTCGTAAGTTTTTACTTTATAGGATTCTATATATGAGCCCCAAAAAGGAACCGCTTTAGGGCCTTTGGGTACCCGACACCAGCCCTGAAAGGAGCTTTCACCGCAGAACCCGTCGAATGCCGTCTGGAGAGCTGGGAAGGTCTCGACTGCTCACACCATCATCATGATGGTTGTGGGTGTAGGGTTCGGGGGTTAGGGCTTTAGGGGTTTAGGGTTTAGGGTTTAGGGTTGTAGGGCTTTAGGGCTTTAGGGGTTTAGGGTTCAGGGGTGTCGTGTTTAGGGTTAGTTATTTGTTGGAGCCGTGTGTTATTTGTTCGTTATGTTTTGGGTTCGGGGGTTCGCATTTCGGGGCTGCTACGGCAGTCTTTGGAGGTGGTGGCTTTGGTCTCCGAAATCGACCGCAGTCTTGACATGGAGACCTTTTTCCAGTTTTGGTAGTTTCAGAAAGTAAGGTAGCCTAGTACAGAAGCCTACGTCATGAGATCCATACCCAGGCTCCTGATCTGAAGAACACCCACCGCACTTGGGACGTGTTAGGGATTTCTGGCCAATACGACTTCACTGCGCTTCCGCCAGACTCCTCGGAACTATAGGCAGATGCACGACATGCGATATGCCGACCCATATCAAGTAGGCTGCTCTTTACTGCACGCATCACAAGAACACCCACACAAACACTTTAAAATCCAACAGCGAGCCCAATATAAGCACCCTCACCAAAGCCCCAGGATCAACCCTTCAGAAACGACATAGCATACAACCCACGGACCCTCTATACAACCCTCGTCGGCCACGTTTCAAAAAGAAGAGAAAACTTGATGCGTGGAACCCTAAACCCTAAACCCTAAACCCTAAACCCTAAACCCTAAACCCTAACGAGGTGACCTCAGATCACCCGAACTTCGTGGCATCCCTCTTCGCGTCTGTGGAAGCACGAAGAGGGGAGTCCCACGCACAGCATCCGGCTTCTTGGCCTCAGTTGGAGGCGTAGGATAGGGATCTAAATAATTACCTATGTTATTTTTTTTGGGCGGGGTCCTTATTATAGTTATGATATCATATACCCCAAAACCCTCTTCTAATTATTAAGGTCCCTACATTAATTCAGGCTGCGTGGTCTATTGGTTAGGATGGCTCCAGACATCAGAAAAGCGTCGGGGGTACCTGGTTGAGACATCTGGACTCTTTCTTTTGGCGTCTGCGAGTCCCAGGGCTGAAGATCTTGAACTTAGGTTTCAGGTGTACATGTAGGCTTCAAGTTATAGAGCAAACTCTACACTTGAGGTCAGTGCAGCCTGGACGCCGGCCACATTTCGCCACAGGAAGGAAGCCACGATGAAGATGACCGGGGAAAGGCTAGTTGCAGGCGCCCACTCCCATAATTGTTGCCTTGGCATCAAGATGCTTTCTAGAAGGACTTGCAGAGCCACATAAGTAGTAATTAGTTGTCTACAGTAAGTTTGGCAGTATGCAAGCATGAGCAACTGCTCTTTCTGCAACAAGTTATGTTTCCATGCGATAGTCCAGCAGAACAGTGCCCTGACCCCCTCATAAAGATTGAAACGCAAAGACGCAAAGCCCTGATCGTTGTGCTAACTCATGCTTAGTATAGTATTATTATAATTATTGGCTACCATGATTGTGATAATTCTTCTCAATCTAGGTAGTAGAAACTTTAGTATCATTGCTAATCTTATTGTTAATTTCTTTGCTACGTTCTGTGCGCAGGTGTCTTGGAGCCACAGGATCTATCCAACGCCGTGCGAGATCATGCGAAGGCCACGGGCACAATCAGATTTGGTCCAGTAGGAGCACTTGAGGACCATATCTACAGTATATCATAATACACGTACTATGCTGTACTACATTACACTTATGTCATACTAGACTATACTATATTATATCAGATTGCAGTTTATCATATTATGTTTTACTATAGTATACTACAGAAAATACTGTATTATGCCAGACTATACTTGATTATGCTATATGATTATATCATATTATATTATTTATTCTATCTTATAACTTTATATTGTGATATATGAGGTCATAACAGAAAAGTTCTTTCTTTGCTAGCATAATACTTTAATTTAATGTACAATACTACATTATCTTTTACTAGACTGTATGTTATAGTATACTATAGAATATTATGCTATAATATCTCACCTTATCTCATCCCGCTTAATCTTAAGCTGAACCAGCCGAAGTCCTAACAGTGCGGGATTTTCGAGCCTGGTCGGCCTCCTAGCAATCCTTATCTTTGCCCGAAAAACCATATTGATTAAATTCCCTGCAAGACCCCGCCGAGCAAACAAGGACAACAAGCATGGAATGCATGGAATGTCACGTGAATATAGGGGCTTGAATAAATTACCTATGCTATTTGGGGGGCTCCTATTGCAATTATAGCATAATATACCCCAAAACCCTGTTCTAATTAGGCAGGGGCCAGGCGAGCCTTCTCTCCTATCTTGCGCAGTAGTTCCGCCTTGGGCTGTACGTTGCTGTACGTTCCCGAAGAGCCATATATAGTAAATCCTAAACCTCAACCTGATTCGAAGTTTGACATCTTGAAGTACTAAATTTTGGGGCTTCACCCCGCCAAGCTCTGCAAGCTAGCTTGAGTGGGGTCTGCCCTGCTTGTTGAGGACTGTGTAGCATATGGATCTTACTACTTGGGGTTTTACCTTTCGAGTGCCCTTTTCTTTCGAAAAACCCAAACCCTAAACCCCAAACCCTAACCACATGCAGGCAGCCTTCATCCGTTTCCCCCTGATGGCCGCAACCTCCTCCGGAGCGAAAAGCAGGCAGAGCTCTTGAGCCCTACGGTTGATGATATAAAGGGTTTAGGGTTACAAGGACCCTGAATTATGGGAATTATGGGATATTCCTTATTATGGGTAATGCAGGAATAGTATCATCAACCGTAGTTGGCTTTCAGGTTTACATTTTAGGTGTGGGCTCCTGAACCTTAAACCCTGAAGGGTATGTATCTTTGCGCATGGCACGCTCAAAGTGACTCAAACTTCGTCTGTCTTTTCGCTAGCACAGGGTTTTTGCCTCTCTGCTTCATGGTTCAGGGCTGATGATTCGCAGGCTTGAACTCTTGAATCCACGTGTCAAGCCGATTCCGGGTGGTTGCGTAGCTGCACTGTGCAAGTCGGGGGGTGACTCTTTGTGAAGCAACTTGCGCCCGACTGTTTCTTAAATGCCTGCAGTGGGATTTTGTTAATTTCGTTGTCTCATCTTGAGAATCCGCCTGTTCGAGGGGTTGTTGCCAACAACAGTGGCCGTGCAAGAGGCGTGTGGAGAGAGAGAGAGAGAGACAGATGATTTTGCACATCCCAATAGCGAATAACACCACCTGCCTTTGCAACAATACTTTTTTTGCGATTTGGTTTACGGCGGGATGCAATGATGAACCATGGGTTTGGGGTACTAAACGGTAACTAGTCAGGGCAACAGTACTAGTGGACAACTTGTTAAGATCGGAATGATTTGTGGCGAGAGTGTTCTTTTTGGCGTTTAGAATTACGGAAGTCGAAAATAGTTTGCGGATACTTTCTGGCACGGCTGGAATATTTAATTGCCCCGCTTATGAGGCTAGCGTGAGGTGTGAGCTGCCTGCTCCTCGTCCTACTCCTTCTCTTTTTCCTACTACTGCTGCTGTTGCTACTGTTGCTTCGACTGCGACTGCTACTGCTACCACTGCTACTGCTGCTACTACTGCCACCACCACCACCACCGCCACCACCACCACCACCACCACCACCACCTCCACCTAAAACCACCTTCCGACACCCTCCAAGCAGAGCTCCCGGATGAGGCTAATGGAGTTCTCTGAGCAGAACCTTACGAGCCTGGGTGTGTTCTATATGTGTGTTCTGCGTTGAAAAGCACGGCCCGTCTAGGCGCCAAACCCTGGCACCGAAGGCACTTTTCATGCTAAACGGGCCCGGGGTAGCAAAGTGGTCCGGGTTTTATTGCTCGGGCTGAGCCCTAAATCAGTATCGGCTGCTTGGCAGAAAGAGAAGGGCCACTACACCTGAAGCACAACCAGTATCGACCGACCCCGTGCCCAACTGCAAAGCCAAGTGGGCTACCTGGGTAGTTGCCAAAATGATGGTCCCTATTAATAATAAGGACCCAAAAAGGGACCATAATTTTGACAACCACCCACCTGTTTCGATACCGGGTCGATACACCAACGTCTGCCTTGAAGCCTTGAGCCCGAGATCTTCAAGCCCGCTGCAGGGCTGTCGAGTTTAGGACTCAGGGTGTATAGTAGACGCCGGAAGGTTGGAACATCACTATCCTCATTTTCCATAAGGTAAACTAAAGGGAAACCTAGGCTCAAATGTCAAATGGAAGCCCTGGCATTTCTTGAAGCTTCCACCTGGATTCCCTCCACCCATATTCCACGGGTGAAGCGCTGACTTTTCTCAGAGTTCGCCTCATTGTTCCAAAACGAAATAGAGGCATTAAGCTATCTGTTAGTTTGTACAAACAAACAAGTGTATTATCATTTTAACCGAACTCAGCAAGAAAAAGCCGTATGTAAATAATATTTGCCCGAGGAAGACATGAGACACATAAGAAACATAAGGCTCATCATGATACCAATACGTAAGACACGACTACTACACCAAAAATAATGGTAGACAGCCTCAAGGAACAGTGCCTGGAGCTCCGCTACGCTGGGTACCGTGGATTCTATGCTTATGGCAGCCCGGCTTTTACTTGGAGGCCCCTGCGATGTAATGGTCGACCATGTTAAGTAGGGTTTCAGTTGGTAAGCCCCAAACCCCAAGCGGCAAAATGCCTTAGTTGGGTTTCCCCTGTTCCCCCCAAACCCCTAAACGGCCTAAACCCTAAACCCCCCCCCTACTTCTTGCCAACCCACTAAGCTCCAGGATCCTTTAACTAAACCTCCAAGCCGTAAGCCCCGAAGCCCAAAGCCAGTCAAATCAGTGGGGCCTCCCTAAGCGCGACATATCCCAAACCCGAGACCACATCTCCTGTCCAAGAGCGGCTTACAGCAGTGTTCGGGGTTGTTGGGTGTATGTCCAAAGGAAGACTATAAGAGTACGAGTAGCAAGAGTGGCAGCGCTGAAAGTATGAAGCACCCAGAAGGGGCTCTTACAAAGTAGCAGCCGCGAGCATCATGACCACTTGCACCGTCCAGGAAAACCTCGGTATACCACAATATACTATGCTATACCATGATATACTCTATATATATATATATATGTTTCCATACTATACAAGATCGTATGCTATGATGACAGTCACATCCGCCACCGCCGAGGCATCACCAGCCTCTTCGTTCGGAGCTCTTGGCGACTGTTCTGCACAGGGCCCGGCAAACATATCGCGGGGCCCAGCGTCTCCAGAGATGCTCGAGGCCTCTTTCGGTCTGAATGGGGCCGGGAGGCGAAGAGTTCTGGATGCGCAAAAGGGCTGAGCCTCGAAAAGGGTCTTCAAACCTGAAAACCTTTATAAGCCGGCCCAAAAGCTTCAGCCCAGAAAAGCCCTACACCACACCGCAAGCCCTCGGCCTCAGAAGGGGTGTTCAGCCCCCCATGGCCCCAAACCCTCAAACACCCAAACCTTTTTCTTCGGGTCTTTAGGGCGTTAAAAGAGCTTTGCGGTTTCTGGCTTCAAGTTTAGCCTTCTTTCACGTGTGCACATGCCCCTACCCCAGGGCTTGGGTTCAGAGGCTAGGGTTTAGAGGGGTCAGGGTTTAGGGTTCAGGGTCAAGGGCCCTATGGTTTAGAGACTACGGAAAGGGAGAAGATGTAGGGTTAAGGGTCAAGGGTTTAGGGTTTAGGGAATGCTAACGAATGTTTTTGTTCGCATCCTCGGCTTGTCCGAGGGGTAAGACCGTGTCCGACACCCTTCTGGTGCTGTGCGTGACACTGAAGCCTACCCTTAGGCCCTGAAGCCCAAACCTTAAAGAATCGGACGCCGGTAACGGCAAAGGCAGCAACAACAACAACAATACAAAGGTAACACCAGCAACCACCACCACCACCACCACCACCACCACCACCACCACAACAACAACAACAACAACAACACCAGCAGCAGCAGCAGCAGCAGCAACAACAACAACAACAACAACAAGCCTATGAACAGGTCTCGTTCATGCATGCGGCAGCACAGCGCGGGCTACCGCTCTTAAACCAACCCAAGCCGCAGGAGTGGCTCTTGAGTGTTTATCTGGGCGGTTTAGACTCGTGAGGGTTTTTTGGGGCCATTAGCATCACGGGGTTTAGGACTAAGGACTATAATGACGGGTTTAGAGGTTCAGGGTGTATACACATGCAGCATTTAGGGGGTTGGGATTAGGGGTGTTAAGAATGACGGGCAAGCATTCCACCCTTTACACAAAAGCCGAGACGTCAGCAACGAAAGCTTACTGGTATGTGATTAGGGGCTGGACGGAACACCTCGTACCCACACTCTAGGGGCAGGCTTCAAAGGGGGTGAGTATCAGGTTTGATTTTGCACGTCTTCGGGAGACGTTCGCAGGATTGGCATCTCAGGGTGACAGGATTGAGATTGAACGGGATATGCTTTGGCGGTTAGAAACTTTTTGGGTCTGACCTTAAGCCTAAGCCCTCAAACCCTCCAAGCACTAAGCCGCACACTCTCTAAACCCTAAACCTGTGAAAACCAAAGAGCTGAGGCTTTAACCTCCCGGGGCTGTTTCTGTGTAGGGTTTACCCATAGGCCCCATAGTAGTTCCTTTTTGGGATGACCTAATAGG